TTGGCAGGATGGGTCAAGTGGTACACTGAAAAATGCATTAGCCAGATCCATGACAGTAAAAATTGTAGCAGTTGGTGGAACCTGGGACAAGAGAGTATGTGGATTTGGAACAATTGCAGTATCTTTGACAGTTACTTCATTAACAGCACGTAGATCCTGAACCATCCGATACTGATCAGGCTGTCCCTTTTCAATTTTCTTCTTGACAGGGAAGAGGGGTGTGTTGCATGGTGACACACACTTGATAAGGGCACCTTTTGCAAGGAGACTTTCCACTTGTTTGGAAATAGCGAGGGCTTGTGCAGGCTTCAACGGATATTGTGGTCTTCGGGGAGGTGCCACTCCCGGCAGTAGCGTGACCACAACGGGGGGAACGTTAAGGCGTCCAATATCATCCAGGCCAGTGGACCAGAGCTTTGTAGGGATCTTGTCCAGAGCACTGGGGGCATGTGGGACCCTTGATTTCCCTGTGGAAGATGTGAGGTGTAATAGTATGGGAAGGGAGCAAAGTACCGATGTATCTTTCCGTGACAGAGGGGTGTCTAACTGGACTTGGCCGTCTGCAGTGAAGGTTATGGAAGCTTGCAGCCGGGAAAGGACATCAGCACCCAAAAGGTTAATGGGGCACGTGGAGGAAACAACAAACCGTGAGAGGATATCTGACCCCACATGGAGGAGTTTAGTGACTGGGCTATTACGGGGTGTACCATCAACCCCAACACAGGAGACATCGGTATCTGACAGGAAGGATGGGTCAGGCAGGTCTTGTTCTCTAAGAACACTACGGGCTGCACCTGTATCAACTAAGAAGGTAGTAGGATGACCCTCTATGGGTAGAACCACAGTGGCTAGTGGTCCTCCCCCATCCCCTGTAGACACTGCCATGGCAGGGGTAGCTGACACAGGCTTGCCGGTTACCTATTGCAATAAATCCAAATGAGCCTGGTCAGGGCCCTTATAACGGCGCGAGGAGGTGGAAGGGAGGCTAGCCTGCATGGTAGGGCGAGCAGGACGGTTCTGTCTAGGGATGGGCCGGCCCTCCTGGAAATCATCAGTGTCAAACCGATCAGCAGGAGCAGGAGGGTAAGCACAAGCATCTGTAGACGGTGGCAGGGATTGAGAATATTCTGGAGGTGGTGGGAATTGTGGCACTGGAGGGGGAGGAGGCGATTGGAAGTACCCCAGAAGGAGATAGCCATAAGTAGCTGTGGAGGGGTTAGAGAACCAGGGAAGTAGTGGCCGGAACAATCTGGGGTGAGGGCATTCCCTCCTGAAGTGACCGGTTTGGTGACAATTATAACAGGTACTGTTTACCGTGGGTGTCCTGTCCCTAGAGGGAGCAGGGGTCTGTTGCAACTGTTGCATGTAGCCTGGGGGGGCATGAGCAGATCCTGTGACAGGTGCTGTTGTGGTAAACATCAATGGGCTAGCCCTCCTTTGTGTAGGTTGTAGCACTGACTCTAAACCTTTAGCAACTAACAAAAGTGTGTCAAGAGGAATGATTCGATACTCGGGCCGAGAGAGTATTAAACCTTTACGAATGTATTCTTTCAGGCCAGCCACAAAGGCAGCAGACAACATCTGAGTGTGTGCTTTATTATAGGTACTGAACCCTAAATCAGAGAAGGTCTGGGTTAACCGTGAATGATATTTCTCAACTGACTCAAGTTTATCCTGAACAATGTCATTTATACAAGTTGCCTGGGGTGGGGGCAGGTTGGGCCACAGGTGAGTATTCAAGACATGGGCTAGAGCGGAGATTGGGTCAGGGGTTTCAGGGGGAAGGGTAGCAGGGGGAGGCAGAGTCGAAGGGTCTGGAGTAGAAGGTTGGGGCATAACTGTAGGAGGAGGGACAGGAGTGGTGGGGTGGGCCAAGGAAGTGAGGGCGGAGATGAGGGCAGAGATGGATGATGATAGATCAGCAGGAGGAGATTCAGAGGTGGTAGGGGGAGGGACTGTAGTAGGAGGGGTAGAAGTAGCGGGTGGGTTAAAGCCGTGAGGGCGGAAAGAAGAGGTGAGAGGTCGGCAGGAAGGGGAGGGGAAGGCGACGGAGTGGGAGGAGGTGTGGTAGGGGCGGGAGTAGTAGGAGGTGTCAAAGATGAGAGGGTGGAGAGGAGTGATGAAAGGTCAGTTAGGAGAGGGGAAGAGGTAGGGCCAGGGAGTGTAGGGGGTGGGACAGAAGTAGTGGTGGCGGGAGCAGTAGGATGGGCTAAGGCAGAGAGGGTGGAGACAAGAGACGAAAGGTCTATAGGAGGGGTAGAGGCGGAAGGAGAGTGGTTGGAGAGTAGAGATGAAAGGTCAGTGGGAGGAGTGGGAGGAGGAAGGAGATCAGTGGGTGCAGGGGGAGGAATAGGTAGGGTGGGAATGGTGGGATGGGCTAGGGCTGTAAGAGCGGAGAGAAGAGATGAGAAGTCAGTGGGCGGGGGTGGAGGAGGTGAAGAATCTGCGGGAGTAGGGGGAGGGATGGAGTCAGGAGGTGCCGGAACAGTAGGATGAGCTAAAGCTGAGAGCGCGGAGAGGAGGGATGATAGGCAGGTGGGAGGGGAGGAGGAGGAAGGAGACGGAGAAGTAGGAGGAGACAAGGTCGGGGCAGTCGAGAGTGAGGGGAAGGTGAGCGGTGAGGACATCAGGGGTTAGAGTTGGAGCTGATGGGGCGGGATCCGGAATAGGGGGAGCTGAGGTAGTAACAGGTGTAAACGGTGGGTGGGGTGGAGGACAAGGAGGCGGAGGGACTTCAGTAGGAGTGACAGGGGAGAGGGGCGATGACTGGGTCTGGTGGGGCATGGGGGCATGAGGGAAGGAATGGAGTGGCACCGGATAGTAATAGGCTCCATTGGCCCCGAGCACAGGACACAGGGGGGTGGGAGCTGGAATCACACCCCCGGGGGATGGCGTCCGGGCAGTAACAGGGGAAGCTGGGCGGGAATTAATTACCACGCTCTGGGCGCCATCATAGGGCGGTGGTTGGGAAGCAGTGGGGGATACATCAGCATTACAAACATTTCGGTGATACACATGAACGATTTGTCCCTCAAAGTCTAACTCTTCCTCTGTCTAGCCCTCCCGTTTGAGACCTCTAGCAACTCGATACCATGCTTCCACAGCCTTTGTTAGCCCGTTGTCCAGCAACAAACCCTCCTTATCCACCAGTAGTTTCCTCCAGAACTCAGGTTGCAGCCTACCACTAGGCGACATTTGGAAACCACATACATAGAAACATAGAATGTGACGGCAGATAAGAACCATTCGGCCCATCTAGTCTGCCCAATTTTCTAAATACTTTCATTAGTCCCTAGTCTTATCTTATAGTTAGGATAGCCTTATACCTATCCCACGCATGCTTAAACTCCTTCACTGTGTTAACCTCTACCACTTCAGCTGGAAGGCTATTCCATGCATCCACTACCCTCTCAGTAAAGTAATACTTCCTGATATTATTTTTAAACCTTTGTCCCTCTAATTTAGGACTATGTCCTCTTGTTGTGGTAGTTTTTCTACCTTGGTTATCTTTTTAATTTTCAACATTGCATCCTCCCCTGCCCCTTCTTTTACAATATCACAAGCCAACAATCCCTTAGCAGGTCTAGCATGCTCCTGCCCCATCCTGACTAAACAAAGTGAGCCACGCTCAAGAGACAGGTATATAGAGAAAAAGAGGAAGGAATGTCTACAGTGCTCGACTGCCACGAGGACCTGATCCCCGTGCGTCTTCCCCAAACGTAGACTAGTCACGAGGGTCCGCCAACCCGAAATGGTGGCCACGGACCGGAGCGAATGAGCGTGGGTGACTAACACAGCTCTGGGCAACAGACACAGGAGAGATAAAGTATAAAGGAGAAGATGAACGTGGCAACACTAACCAAGAGGCATTTACAGAAATCACACACATAAAGATGAGTGTAAACCCCAGAATCCAAAACTAGCCACACGACACACACCGAGGGTGCCCACACTATAACAGCAGTTGAACAAAAACCACAAAATGACAGAGTAATATGGCCATGTACATATTAACGCAACACACACCAAACAGTAAATTGTGACAGCCCCAGCCCTCCTTACTAGGCTGTAAGGCTGTAATTCTGTAATATGACCTTTTTACCGGGTCTACAATGAAAAACACAAAACCCCACCTTCTACCAGGCGGTACCCAGCCTTTCACAGGCTGTAACCCAGCCCCTTAACGGCTGTAATCTATATCCCAACCCAGTCACCCAGGTTGTACCCAGCCTCTCTAACGGCTGTAATGCGTCCCCTGCCCGCTAGGCAGTCAAGCTAAAATTGTAAAAGAACCGGTTGTCACACCCATTCACACAAACTCACAGGAGGCAGATAGACAATCGACAGGTTCATTAAAAAGGGACACCGGATGAGTTATTTACCTGTCTCTAGTAGCCTTCTGGAAGCCGGAAGTGGACTCTGAGACAGACCGACACAAAACAGGAGAATAACACAGACAACGGCTGTATTATGGAGGTGATCAGGCTCC